GGTGGGAGTCACCACCCAGTACCTGATTTGACTTAAGATCCACCCTACAAGTTGGAATCCATACCTGACAATGCTTGAGTGGACAAGAACTAGAGAACAAATATCTAAGTAACAATGGTAAAACCAAATACTATTGACTGACTAAATGAGTGAATGAATAAAAGTAAAAAGAAAATGTGTACTAATGGCATTCTTCCATATGCCTACAGCAGTGCCTTGCTCAGCCATTGTCAGAGAAGCTTCCTCCTGCAGTACATAGGGACAAATACTGAGACTGCATCTAGACATTATAGAGGAGAAACCCTCGAATATTCAGCCCTAAATGGGAGTTCTCCAAGAAATCTCTCTCCTCAGGGCTCAGGAACTCTGGGGAAATGAAGGCAGAAAGAAAATAAAATCCAGAGGGGAAGGGAGGAAACAAGGTTCTCCAAAGAAAGACGACCAAAACTCATATGGACTCACAGAGACTGAGGCACCAGGCTCAGGGCGTGAATGAGTTTGTGTCGGGTTCTCTGTGTTAGACTTTATGGCTTTCAGTTTTGTGTTTTTATGGGAATTTGTGAAGAAGTGGGCCTCCGATTCTTGTCCCTTCTCTTGAGCTCTTTTTCTTCTGCTTGATAGTCTTGTCCAACTCCAATGTAATAATTTTTGTTTTATCTTTTATTTCGTTATTATGCCTTAGAAGCCTGTTCTTTTCTAGTAGGAGACAGAAAGGGAGCAGATCCAGATGTGACAGGAGGTGGGGAGGACTGTGAGGAGTTAGAGGGAGGGAAAACTGAAGAATATATTATGTGAGAAATAATCTATTTTTAATAAAAGTGGAAAAATAGATATTTTCTCAAAAGATAATTTATTGTCCATATGAGATGTGGAGAATAAGTAAAACTTCAAAATGAGAAAGCAAAGCCTTTAAAGAGCATATGAAGGTCACTGGCTAAGAGAAAAGGTCATTGGAAAAAAAGGAGTAGTAGGCATTGTACCCTTGCACATCTCTAAATTTTGATGGAAATGGGATAAATCCAAGAAGATAATGCAGTTCGCATGCCTATTGGAATAAGTGTCCTGATATAAAATTTGAATCTAGGTCATACATTATTTTCTCAACTGATATTTAAATTCAAAAGTGACAGGCTAGGCAACTGATATGAATTAAATTGAAATTTTAAAAGCTTGTCAAATATGTTTCGTATTTCATTAAAAAAAAAAAAAAAGGAGTCAGTGCTACATGGCGCTCTCCCTGCAGGGTTAACTAATTCTCCAGTCATTTTCCAGATGACAGCACCATTTAAAAATACATATAGGTGCTACCAAACTCCTACATAACGTGTTTAGCTTTTGAATGTGGTGGTCTGTTTCCATATGTCTATAACCATGGGACATGATCACTACTTGTTAAATTAGGGTAGCATTCATGGAAAATTAGTGCTGAGCATTTCATCTTCATGAACATAAACCTGACAAGCTGAGAGAGGACAGGAAAGCTGCACCTGGAGGAGAGACCATTTCCATTCAGATCTGCAAAGAGTCCCAGGAAATAATTGCTGATTGTCCTTGAAAATGCAAAGATATATACAATGCTTATTAAAATATAGTGGATGGCCCCCGAGGAATGACACCTTGGTTTTCCGAACCTCCATAAACATGTATACACACACTCACACACACACACACACACACACACACACACACACACACGGTGGGAGGGGGGAGAGAGAGAGAGAGAGAGAGAGAGAGAGAGAGAGAGAGAGAGAGAGAATCTTGTCCACATGTCCACATTTTAAATTAGTTCTCTGATGTTACTGAGATCATATAGACAATAATAAGTTATTATTGTGGGGGCTGGAGAGATGGCTCAGAACTTAAGGGCACTGGCAGCTTTTCCAGAGGAAATTGAAATTTGATTAAAATTTATGCCCTGGCAATGTTGATGCATGCAAGGGCAGCCAATGTGTGGTGGTTCTGTTGAACTTGTTCACACCTGGCTTCATTATCTAAGTTGATGAGTATGACTGACCAGGTCTGTTTCTCAAGAGGGCACCAGATCTCATTACAGATGGTTGTGAGCCACCATGTCGTTGCTGGGAATTGAACTCAGGACCTTTGGGAAAGGAGTTAATGCTCTTAACTGCTGAGACATCTCTCCAAACCCAAATTCAATTCCCAGTACCCACATGGCAGTTCATAACTGTCTGTAACTCCATTTCAGAGGTTCTGACATCTTTACACAAATGAATATAAAACAAAGTTAAATAAATTATTTAACAAAAAGGTTATTACAGTGAACCAAATTAACGTCTGACTCTGTTATCTATCCTTGTAGAGAATGCAGCAAATATGTCCTCTCACTCTTCCTTTTCAAGATTCCTAACTACACTTATATAAATCTTGTCACCAAAATAATAAAAACTGCCCATTAAAATAACTGGTAACGTGCCTATTTTCTATAAATTATATCAATAAAATAATGCAATCTCTAGATAAGTCATTATTAAAATGATTCAACAGCATTCATATAGTTTCTATAATTTAAGATATTAAACTTCTTACAATTCCTTGTGGTTTTAAACTAACTTAGCAAATTAGCCTGAAATTGGAGACTAATTGAAACAAAATCTATCTGAAAAAGGTCACGTAGAAAAGGCATGATAAGGTCATTTCCCCCCAAGAATTCCCACAGTTCTTTATTGCCCTTTGTTTGAAAGGACTGTGCCATCAATACCTTAATTACTGGTGCAAACAGACAGCAGGCATCAAGGCAAGGGAACAGTCTCAGAGGGTCATGCAAAATGCAGGTCATTCTGGAGAGCCCAGCCACAAAGGATGAGACACATTTTAATAACGAAGGATAATTTTATAGCCATGTCACTGCTCAGTGTGTCACAGTACTAAAACACATAAAGGTGACTACGCCCATAAATGTACATGTGCTCAAAATGCATTTTTTTCTGATATTCTGTGAGAAGTGTCAATAAATCTTCAGAGAGAATCAATACATCGTAATAAATATAGTGAGCTTTGAAAAGATTATAGAACATGATAAAACAGGGTGTGTTTGGGAAATATGATTTTATTATTGTGTTATAAAAACCAAATAGGCTAACATTGATAGGTGACTAAATAGAATAGGATGAAATAGACCTCTTTCATAGTATTCTCTCTTTTGTTAAAGGAATCTAGAGTTTTATCTGTGCGGTAAATAAATGGAACAGATATTGACTGAAAATATTGAAAGGACCTGCAGGCTAGACTGGGCTTTTTCAGAAGCCTGAATTGTCATGAGACTACTTTACATAGTACTACCTTAGTGCTATCATCTTTCAAATTCTTCCACATTTTACATGAGAAGCAACACAAACACATGAGCATATTCAGACAAATTAAAACTGTCACTATTCAAAAAAGGGAGCAAAATGTATACTAAAAAGCACTCTCAGTAACAAAAATACTGTTTGAAAAACCCGCAATAGTTCGGCTTTCTTCACTGTAGCACAAATGTCATGTATTCTGTAGCATTCCAATATTAACCCTAGTTTAAGCATTCTAATTCCAAAATATCTAAGCAAAAACAAATTTCCAATTTTTGTCTTTGCAGATCTCCAAATTAATTAGGAAATTGTACAGCATATAAAAATGTGATGCCAAGTAACATCTCTGTTTCAACAGTTGTCATTATGGCTCAAATGTGGACTCAGATTCAGCATTAACAATACATACACATTTCTGTCTCTGAATGCGTTCCATTTTGTCAGTGACCTTGGGCCAGAGACAAAAGAGAATCATTCCACTGTCAAGCTTTCAGAAACCCAGACTGACAAGTGTCATCCCAAGGGACAGTATGAAGTCATGCCATATATACTACTAGATTAAGGAAAGAGCTCTCTATTTGCAAATATAACTGGTTAATAAAACTACTAATTCCTTCTTCATAGACTACATTGCTATCATAATCAATTACTATGCACTAAAACCCTTCATGCAAGTCATAGGATGGTCCCATTTGATATTCACAAAAATCAAATGACATTTATGACAAAAACATATTCCTAGTGATCATGCACTTCTTACAATAGACTAAATCTGGTTTAACAAATTAAAACCAATACTTATTTGCTCCTTAAAAATATCATCTGAAAGCTAAATTTTATGGTTTGTTGATATAATGGTCTTTTCCATATTTTAGGTGACTATAAACAAAGCATTTGACTTAATTACATTTCCTACAGTTTATCACACTAAAAGACAATTGGTAAACTATAACATTCATACATTCATTTCTGTAATCCTTATTTATTAAGATAATTATATGGTCCTTGCTTTAGATTCACACAATAGAAAGTATTATCAACTTGATTTATTTAGACTATTTTTGATTTTTCATTTATTTGCCAAAATAAAAACCCTTTTTATTCACTGAAATTAATTAGCATTGCCCATAAAACCTTGTCAAAGAAAGCTATATTATATGTTATATTATATTATAATCAATCACTTCTGAGTACAAAAGTACTTAGAGATCTAATACCGGAAACAATACCATAATTAGTTTCAAAATTGACTATAGAAGACAAGAACATAAAAACCCAGAGACCAGTAACACACTGTTTTCTGAATATAACAATCCTCTAGTGATTAACTAATATTGTATATTTTCTATTACCCTTTATAATAAGTTTGTGTGTGTGTTTGTGTGTGTGTATGTATGTGTGTGTAATCTAGAAGCACACTTAATCATGTTGTGTGTGCATAACTGGACAAATTGGTAAGTTATTGCCCTGCGGAAATAATGATTAAATTATGCAATTATGCTTTCTATATCTAAAACAAAAATGGACTAACCTTATCACTTTACTTTCAGTTTTTCCTGCTCTTTTGGTAGCATATATTTGTTATATTCATATAGCAAACCCTTACATTTTTATCAAAAAGAGGCAAATGAAGACTAAGACATTTATCATTTTGCGCAAACACACTGACAACACACAGCAGGCCGCGTGCAGTACCTTTGGGTATTGTTTCACGGGGATCAATACTCTTTCAGACAGTTTTATGTTTTTGTTGCTGATGACATCGAGATATTTCTTTTCTTCGTCTTCCTTTTTTCCATCGGAACCCTGAAATTTCTCAATTTCTGAAAGAATAAATAAAACACAATTAAGTGAAATGAAACAAACGCCACCGCAGTACGATGAGTGTTTTTTTTTCTATTCCAGATAAAATTTGGATAATTTTGATAAAGGCTGAAATTTTGCACCTTGCAATCAGTTATATGAATATTGCTATATGGTGACCTCTGCCAATGGTAACTAATAGGTAGTAAAGCAACATAACTGTAGCTACGGTGAACAAAATGATCCACTTAGCTGCTGTAGGTAGCTTCTAATAAGATACAAGAAAACTATGTCCACTGACAGCGTAAAACACCTACACACATAGCTGTCCTGGGAACAGAGACTAGTGTGAAGCATGTTTTAAGTTTATATTATTTTTCTTTTACTTAAAATGATTTCTAGGAAAAGAAAATATTTAAAAATAATAACAATCCAGTTCTAAACTACAGCAAAAATAAATTATATTTTATATTATAAACATCTTTAAAATCGATCTTAAAGGGGCCATATGAGCTATAAAGATTGTAATTAGCCAATTTTAAGGAAAATGTTTATTTTGATCTTTAAGAATGTTCTAGAGAGGCTATTCTAAATATAATTATACAACTTATTCATTCTTTCATTTTAAGATTTTCATTAAAAATGTGGGTCTCTATTATGCCTACCAGAGATAGAATAGAAAACAGAAAGGGTCCTGGTTTCACACAGTATGTATTCAAATGAGGAAAACAAACATATGCATAAATATGTGGGGAGAGGAAATACACACGACGAAACTACTAAAGGTGTTCATAAGAGTAGAGTCAAGGGATGCAGTCTGGGTGGAAAACCTATTAGAGTAAATCAGTTCAGGTCTTGATGTTAAAGAAGAGTAAATCTTGAGGACAGACAAGAAAGACTAGCAGCTGACTAAAGAGCAACCTGAACCTGTATTGACTGAAGAACAGCAAAGAAAGGAGTTTGTTGGGATGATATCGGACAGATAATTTAAGATCCTGTAGGAAAGGAGATCATTTCTGATCTCTCTCTCTCTCTCTCTCTCTCTCTCTCTCTCTCTCTCTCTCTCTCTCTCTCTCTCTCTGTGTGTGTGTGTGTGAATATACTTGGAAGCCAGTGGACTGTCTTTAGTAAAGAGGAGGGGACAGCCATATTAAATTTGCCTTGGCGCTGCAGTCATTGTTAATCAGTTCTGTCTTGAACTCATGATCCTCCTGACTCAGCCTCACTGGTGCTGGGCTTACAGGTATACCCTGCACCAGGCTCACAGATTTCCAGTCATCTAGTTGGGAAGTGATACTAAGGCTGGAAAAATCAGGCAGGAATTAGATGGTGAAGCAAAGGGTGAGCGGAAGCTAGAGTCATCTTTGGGAAAGAGATGTATCTGGGATGTAGAAAACCTGTTCTCACTAATTTTTATCAGTTATTATCATATCTTCTATAAATAATTATTGTCTTGTTCTTTGCCAGCTTTACTCTACAGTCCCCAAATGCTGACTGGTACAGTTATGACTGGGAATATTTTTTACTTTTGTTACAGATGCAGCAAACCCTTCTGACCATAGTGTTTTGTAGAGAAAAAAAGTGATGATGGACATTAAGATGGGCATTGAAATATATATTAATTCAATTGCTTTTAATGTCTGGCTACTCAAAAAGGTATAAGATATATACTATTTATTATATAAAGGTATCAATTGAATATTATATCGTTATTTTTTTAACCTACCAATTTACAAAAATGTTTTTCCAAAGCTTACAAAAAAATTACTAACACCTTCCAATTACAGATCTGTTGACTTCCATTTTGTCATATATACAACTTCAGCCATCTTTCCATAGTTTTACATTGCTTACTTATACAAAGCTTTGTTGAAGAGTTTGAACATGTGTATTGAATTTATTAGTTATCCACTAAAATTTCACTTACGCCAAGTGTCTTACTGAACATAGTTATTTAAATGTAAGTTATACATGTACTGGTTACTACTTAGCATGTTGGCATCAGCTTTCTACTGTCCTGCTTCAGCGTTAAGTGTCATCAGTATATTAAGGGCTAACTTTAAACCGACTCCTTTATAAGTCTCAAGAAGCTCTTTCTTCAGACTTTTCCTACCTGATATCCTTTTACAACCAGAACACTGGCAACTTCAAGTAAATGCTCTTCATTAACATAATCTGTGAGGACAATGAACTTCTGATCAATGTTCCTGGTACTTGAACTTTTCTAGCATCTTATTTTCTACTCTGTGCAGGGAAACTGTAACATGAGACACACTGAAGCTCAACCTAGTCCCAATCTGTTACATGAATGGCTTCATTATCAGTCTGTCACAATAAGAAACTGACTTCATCTGACATTCTTTGACTCCCTTAAAACTCCAAGTTGGGCTTTTCTAGACACAATTTGGTCAATGATTAATTCTAATAATGTTCCTATGAGGAAGAAGAACGGAATGAAATCCCATTTTCATTCCTCTTTCTTAACAATTCTGCAATTTCCCTTTGAAACTGAGTGACAGATTCACTCAGTTATCTTTTCCCCCCGACGTATCAGTGTGAGCAATAGCTCAATAATTATGTGCCAACCACAATGCCACAAAATGGTATAACTAAATCCTGCCCAGTTCCAAAATCAAAGATTTCAAATTTATGAAGCCCCTTTTCTTATTTTAATTTTTTTTGTTTTCAAGTTACTTGCATTCATATATTTAAAATAAATGTTTGAATTTTTACTCTTTACTGTGTTCGTTAATTATCTATCATACTATGGATTGAACATGGTCTCATGTACAATACTAGGCAAATAAGGTGTATCTCCAGCCCTCTTTTGTTTATTTATTTTTACTTTAAAGTATGATCTTTGAGATTCCACAGTGTCCTGAACTCACTCTGTATTCCACAGTGGCCTTAAAAGTAAGATAGTCTAGCCTGAGCCTCCCAAAGACCTTGTACACAGGCATGCAACAGCAGGTCCAACTTAAAATAATCATAATTTTTTATTTCATGATTAAGGCATAGGCTCTATAACATTTAGAGAACATGGTTACTCATAAATTTCAAAAGTGCACTAATTAGAGAGTAGTGAATAGAGAAATATAAACATTTCACATTTCCAGGTAGCATCTATTTAATGCCAATCAGTACATTATGGGATACAATACTTAATATACTAGGGGTAATGGTTTTAAGTCTTAAGGTGGCAAAATTTTTGTGTGTGTATTTCTTCTTCTTTTTTATTTATTTTTATTGAGCTCTACATTTTTCTCTGCTCCCCTCTCCACCTCTCCATTCCCCTTCAACCCTCCCACAAGGTCCTCATGCTCCCAATTTACTCAGGAGTTCTTGAAGGTGACAAAATTTTTATGTTTTATATTGTCTTGCTTGGTTTGCTAGTGAATATATTCATTCAATAATTTCCATTGCTAACACTGCAGAACCTGGGTGATGTGGAAATCCAAAGGACTATTCCTTTATCATATCTCCATCCACATAATGATATGCTGACATCCAAAGAAGGCTATAGAAGAAAGCAATGCAAAGGAAATTTAGCTTCTGCTCTTTTGTTACTTTATGTACTGCCATATAAATTCCTTAAATATGATTTCCACAGGTGTTATTATATTTTATAAACATCCTTATCTGTGTTTTAATCTGATTTTTATATTTTAGTGGAAATTTTAATATCTGAGGTGATGCGTGCAGATTAGTTGTGTGCCGAATTTCAGAAATTTCATTTCTTGTTTTATAAGCATTGTTCAGCATCAATTTATAGAGATGGAGAGTCGCAGAGACTTTTTTTGCCATATTAGTTTCTTTTAAAACTGTACACTTTTTCCATAAGGCTTTCAAGCATCCATAGTGCCATTTATTTGTCTTTCTTCCCCCTCTCTCTGGATTACCCTTATGCCCTCCTCTCCATGTAAAGCACCATTGTAGAGATTACAGAGCTTCTCCTTGTCATTTGTTTATGTACATGTGTTTGATAAGACTTTTTCCTAGTAGTCTATCATGCCATCCTTCATGTTTTTTATTCATGTCAACTCCTGTCAGTGTTACTGGTACCCCTGTAAATCTCCAGCTGCTTTCATACTTTCCCATCATCTCTGTGCCAGCTTACATATCCATGAACAATGTCATTCTTCCCAATATTTTTTGTTTTCACTGTTCTTCTTTCATATGTCATTTATCGTTTTTGCTTTGACAAAGTTTCCCTGTGCAGCCTGAGCTGGCAGCCAGCTCCTAGTCCTCTTTACTCAGTCTTCTGAGTGCTATGTTTACTGACACCAGCCTGCTTTAGTTGTAATTGTTGACTCATCGAAACACATGCACATATACAAATGACAAAAAAATTAAGCAATCTGTACAACCAATGTGAATTAAGTTAACTGAACTATCATACAACCCAAAGTTACAATGTGAATGGCAATATAATCTAAAACTCAATCTGTTAAAATATTAGTACTTAAAGTGAGGAATTATATTAGGTAGTTGAGCTCTTGATAGAAGATTGATTTGTGAACACTGTATACAAATGAATGAAGTTAAGGCTCTTATAGTAAAAGGGCTGAGGGCAACTGTCACAGCTAGAAAGCACTATAGAAAGTGTGATTCACCAGACACTGAATCAGTCATCACCATGACCTTGGTCTTCTTATCCTCCACAACTACTGGAAAAAAGGTCATATGTTTGTCTGGGCATATCTCCAACCGAATTGGAATTAGAATCCTAAAAAAGATCCTTAAAAAAGACTTTTTTTTTTTGGATTCTAAGATCATCTAATAAAAACCTCCAACACCAGGCATGACAAGTCCTCTTTTGAGTTGCTGGTCAGGGTAATCAAAGGGACTCCCAAAACATACTGTCTATTTTTAACCCCCTTGGTTGCCCCCACCCCCAGAAGTGGATTGTAAGCCCCTGCTGGTGATGTTTGTACACAGGCTCTAGAGCTGGAACTGATCTGAAACCATCCTCCCTGAAGATTAGCTTTCAAGGTAACAGAGGGCCCGTTAAAGCTCTCAA